AGCAGCAGCCTCCCGCAGGGAGCGAGGACTCGGGGTTGGCTTCGGCCAGGTGTTGCCGGGACGGGGGGTGGTCAGGGAGTGGCGAGCGCCGATCTCGCCCAAGACGAGGATCCTCTTCTCCTGGGCACAGGCAACTCCCAGCAGCAGCCTCCCTGTTGGGGAAGGGGAGAGATAAGGAACTTGGCAAAGCGTCCCCGGGAGATAACTGGGGTGACGTGAAGTCCTCAGGGGTGGAGACAGCTGGGGAAAGGGGTGGGGGTGTGGCGCTCCCACAAAGTGGGGTGTGGGGAGGTAGCGGGGCCCGAATCGGAACACGGCGTTCCGGCTTCGGATGGGGATGTCGAAAGGAGAAGTGAGATTAAACGAGCTTTGAGGAGACACCGGGTTCCCGGGCTGTTCTTGGGGGACGGGTGTAGGCGGCTCTTGCCAAAGCTGGGCTTCATCGCTTCCTACGTAAGCAGAACGGAGGATAATGCTTAAGAACAAGCCGGTGGCGCTCCAGCTAACGCTTCCCCTCTTCCCCTTTTCCCAGATGGGGACGGCTCCGTGATCCTGAGACCCGGGAACAAGTACGAGTACAAGTTCGGGTTCGAGCTTCCCCAGGGGTGAGTATGGGACGAACGCTACGTCCTCGGATGAGGCTGGCTGGCTACGGAGAGCTCTGCTGTCGCCTCAGGTGGGTCTGACCAGTGTCTCTTCCCCCAGGCCTCTGGGCACCAGCTTCAAGGGGAAGTACGGCTGCGTGGATTATTGGGTGAAGGCCTTCCTGGAGCGCCCATCCTTCCCCACGCAGGAGATTAAGAAGCGCTTCGAGGTGATGGATCCCGTGGACGTGAACACGCCGGAGCTGATGGTAGGTGCAGCCTTACCGCGAGAGGTTTGGGTGTCGGAGAGGTTTGGGTGTCGCCCGGCATCGTGAGGGAGAGGAGCCCTTGGGCAGGGTCACTCCGACCTCTGTGGTTAAGACCCCTCTAATAGGCTTTAGCGCTGAGCGCAGATTAAGTCCTTGGTGATTAAGAAGTCCCAGTCGCTTCTAGAAACCTACCCCTGGGCGCTTGTTCTGCCTCTGCCGAGCTGCGAGGCGCCGGCACCGCGGGGGG